AGTGCCCCCTTTTTAACCCATTAGGCGGTGCCCCCTTCTTGACTTTTAACAATCTCCCACTTGAAGACTGATTTTAATCTGTCTTCACACCTTGATCAATGCAGTAGCATTTCTGGTCTTGTTACTCTAGCATGCCAACTGAAGCTGAACACAACTTTAGTTTGTCTGTAGTCACCGCCTTTGTTAACATGTCTGTCGGATTTTGAGCTCCACTAATCTTTTCAAGTTTCAAAATCCCATCTTCCAGAAGAGACCGGATAAAATGATATCGCAATTGTATGTGCTTCATCCTGGAATGAAAATAAGGATTCTTCGCTAGATGGATAGCACTTTGACTATCACAATACAATGCATTGTTTTCTTGTTTCTTGCCTAACTCTTCCAAGAAACTTTGGAGCCAAACCATTTCATTACTGGCTTCTGTAACAGTGATATATTCTGCTTCAGTTGTGGAAAGAACAACTATCTTCTGTAATTGAGAAACATAACTCACTGCGGTACATACTAGAGTATAGACATACCCAGTAGTGCTTCTTATGATGTCAATATTTCCAGCTAAGTCAGCATCTACATAGCCTGTCAGTATTATATCTCCACATTTGAAACAAAGTGCTTTGTTTGTAGTACCCCACAGATATCTGAGGATCCATTTGACTGCTTCCCAGTGTATCTTGCCCGGATTATTCATGTATCTGCTAACAGCTCCCACTACATGAGCAATATCTGGTCTAGTACAAACCATGGCATACATCAGACTTCCAATTGCCGAGGCATATGGCACCTTTACCATGTGTGCTCGTTCTTCCTCCATCTTTGGTGATTGTTCTTTGAAGAGTCTAAAATGACCACCTAAAGGTGTACTTACTGGTTTAGCATCTTGCTTGTTAAACCTGGAGAGTACTTTGTTGTTGTACTCAGCATGTGATAACATCAAAGTCTCTGACTTTGTGTCTCTCTTAATCCTCATCCCAAGAATCTGCTTTGCAAGGCCCACATCTTTCATTGCAAACTGCTTCGACAATTTTTACTTCAAGTTTATAATCTCTTGCATGTCTGAGCCTGCAACGAGCATGTCATCAACATACAACAATAAAAAAAATGAAGTTGTTGTCGAACTTCTTGATGTAGCAATAATGATTTGCTTGGCATCTGGTAAAACCATTGCTACCCATGAAGCTATCGAACTTCTTGCACCACTGTCTAGGAGCTTGTTTTAAACCATACAAGCTCTTCTTCAACCTGCATACCAGATTTTTCTTGTTTGCCTCTATGAAGCCTTCTGGCTGCCTCATATAGATTTCTTCCTCCAAATCACCATGAAGGAAAGTTGTCTTCACATCTAATTGCTCAAGATGTAGATTCTCTACAGCTACAATTTTCAGCACCAATCTGATTGTAGATAGTTTCACGACTGGAGAGAAAATTTCATTGTAGTTAATACCTTCTTTTTGCTGAAAATCTTTGACAATCAATCTTGCTTTGTAGCGTTTGCTCCCATCGTGCTCTTCTTTGATCCTGTAAACCCACTTGTTATGGAGTGTTTTCTTGCCTGGTGGTAATTCAGCTAATTCTCACGTCTGATTTGACATAAGCGAGTCAATCTCATCTTTCATGGAAGACTCCCACTTAACTTAATCCTCCACCTGTATTGCTTCATCATAGCACTCTGGTTCACCATTGTCAGTCAGCAACAAGTAGTGCAAAGAAGGCGAATAATGTTGTGTTGGTTTAGGAATTATGGAGGAGCATCTTAGTTCTAGTGTACCTGGTTCTTTTTGAACTGCTTCAGGACTGATCTGAACATCATTTCCAGAAATCTCCTCAAACTCAGCAAATTCCTTTGTTTCAACTTCGGTATTGGAGCTACTTGATTATATGGTTGACCTATATTTGTACATCACATTCTCATTGAAAATGACATCTCTTCTTCTGATGATCTTTCGATTTTCATAGTCCCAAAACCGGTAACCAAACTCATCACCACCATAACTAACAAAAACACATTTGTTGGACTTAGCATCAAGTTTACTTCTTTCAGCATAATTAATGTGTACATAAGAAATACAACCAAACACTCTTAAGTGTGAAAGGTTTATTTCTTTTCTGCTCCAAACTTCCTCTGGTATTCCGTCATCCAAGGGAACTGAGAGCCCACAGTTAATCAAGTAAGTTGCAGTGTCCATCTTGATCCCATTGTTTGCGCAAAATTCTCTGAATCTACTATTTCTATACTCTCCTCCATTATCAGACCTCAACCGCTTGACTCAAACCAGTCTCATTTTCCACTATGGCCTTCTATTTTATGAAGGTATCAAAGACTTCTAATTTCTTCTTGAGAAAATAAACCCACAGCTTCCTTATAGAATCATCGAAGAAAGTGATAAAATATAGTGAGCCTACAAGAGATAGAACTGGAGATGGTCCCTATACATCAGTATGAACCAACTCTAACTTTTCAGCCTTTAGTGTCTTATGAATCTTTGCAAAACTAACTTTCTTTTGTTTGTCAAAGATGCAATCCTCACATAGTCCGACATTTATATTCTTTAGATCCGGTAGCTTCTCTTTTGAAAAAAGTGTCTTCATCTCTTTCTCGCTCATATGGACAAGCCTTTGGTGTCATAGGTTTGATTTTCCATCAGCATCTGTTGCTGCAATGATATTCTTCAAGTTTGAGGTTACATAGAGAGTACCAATTTTCTTACCACGAGCAATGACGAGTGCTCCTTTGGTAATCTTCCATTCACAACCTAAAAAGGTTGTACAATATCATTCTCCATCAAGCTGTCCTACAGAAATCAAATTTCATTTGAGGCCAGGAATACGTCTCACTTCTTTCAGCTTCCAGGTGGTCTGGTTTGACAACTTTAATCGGATGTCTCCTTTTCCGACTATCTTCAAGGTTTCATCATCAGCTAGATGAACCTTCCCAAAATCACCACTAACATAGTTCTCCATGATTTATTGGCATGGGGTGGAGTGGAAAGATGCCCCTGAATCCAAGATCCATGATTCAATCGGACTGTTAACGCTTAGAATCATGGCATCACATGTTTCCTCTGTCACGTTTGCAGATCCCTATGCGCCGGTATCTTTCTTCGGTACTCGGCAATCTCTTTTAAAGTGACCATTCTTGCCACAATTATAACAGTTAAAATATTTATTTCCCGTTCTTGATTTTCCCCTTCTAGATTTCGATCTGTCACGATTTGGATTTCTTTCTGAAGTTATCCCTCTAGACTCCGCGTGCAAGGCTGAAGAGCTTGATGCTTCACCCGATTCTCTCCGTTGAATTTCTTCACTCAATACTAGATCCCGAACATCGTCGAATTTCAATTTACTGTTTCATGACGAGATGCTGACTGCTGTGACAGTAGCATTCCAACTGTCTGGTGGAGATGATAAGAGAATTAAAGCTCGAACTTCATCATCGAATTCAATTTCCATGGAACTCAACTGGGTTGTGATTGTGTTGAGTTTATTTAGGTGTTGAGTCACTGATGCCCTTCCGCCATCCACAAATTGAATAATTGTCTCATCAAGTAAACTTTGTTTGAGGCTGATGACTTCTCATACATACCGGATAGAGCCGCCATAAGACCCGCCGTGGTCTTTTCCTTTGCTATGTTAAAAGCAACATTTTAGGATAACTTCAGTCGGATAACTCCGAGGGCTTATCTGTCGAGAAGAGCCCAATTTTCATTCTTCATGCCCTCTGGTTGCTTTCCTGAGAGAGGTTGATATAGATTTTTCTGGTACAGAAAATCTTCAAACTGTATCTTCCAAAAGCCAAAGTCCGCACCATCAAACTTCTCAATTTTCACATTCCCTTCGTCTGCAGCCATTGCTCCCACTCGAATCTGGCTTCATTTGGATCATTTCTGACAATTCTTGCGAACCACCGTGTATTAGAACACCTCCGTCGACAAATTCGTATCTCAGACCAAATTTTACTATTCACAAAATTCACTATTCACATGAATAATAACCTTGCAAAAAAACCGAAATAAGTCAACACCAAAAGCTCTGATATCAGTTGTTGAGAAATTAAACGAGTAATTTCCCTATAACTAGATTAGTGAGAATGTGAAATAAAAGTGGAAAAATAATACCCAAAATTGATAACGGAGTTCGGCCAATTCTGCCTACGTCTCCAGACTGCTGCAGATCTTTTACTAAAGAGAGAAAAATTACCGGTGTTTATAAAACACTCACAACTCACAAGAAAACTCTCTAAACTCTTTAGTATTGGAAGAAAGAAATGATTTGGAATGATTTTGAAGCTAAATGGGCTAGATATTTATAGTTGAAACTTAATGACTAATCTTGTAAATACCCTAAAGTGCATGACTAAAGTTGCAATTTTCTCATGCCAAAAATTCAACAAAATTAAATCCACCGAATTCGGTGCCCCCTTTTTGACCCATTCGACGGTGCCCCTTCTTGACTTTCAACATGGATAACTCTTTTGCATCAAAACGAGGTGAATGGATTGGAGATTCGAACCAAAGATGGAGAATGGATCAATATAAATCCCTCACCAAACTCTTTCATAATCTTGAGCGCTGAGTCCCTTGGCGTAAGTCATTGTGAACAGAACATATATAAATTATGCCACATTGGTCTTTCTGGTCTGTTTGCATTGGCATTGCTTAGAGGTAATATTGGATTTATAATTCATCGATTCGTGTAGGTATGGTTGAATGATTAATTGTCTGCTCCCTACCATCGGGTCGTGACGAAAGGAAACAAGGTACGATACAGCATCGCAGTTTTCACAAACCTGAGAGGTGGCTACCCTTCGACTACGACGAATATCTGCAACATCACGCCTCCCAGGCAGCTCGAGGTGTTTTCACTGAACTTAAAGTTTACTGCAATGTCTAAGATTTTGGGCATCAATAAGCTTTATATATGATGGATGCTGTGTAGTCTATAATGAAATATTATAGATATGTAATATCTGTATCGATTCAACCTACTGATACTTGGATTTGGAGTCATTGATGTTGTTGTAGTTCCTCGAGTGTTCTTCCCTTGGTCTCCGGAACTAGCTTTCCGATTAATATAATTGCAACAACACTGATGAAGGCAAAGATGAAGAATGTTCCTGAAGAAAACAAAATTAAAATCCCCAAAAATCTAAAGAAAACAACATAGAAAAAGTAGAAATGGGACACAAGGAAAATCACCAGCTGAGTTGCATTCAAAGAGAAAAGTGGAAGTGTATGAAACAACCCAAGAACTTGCCCAGTTTAGTAAATTCACCAGACTTCCTCCTGAACCCTTTATGTTTATAGGAAATATCTGAAAGTACAATCAAAAAATATATGTGTGTATACATATGTGTATATATATATGTATCATGTATGTGTGTGTGTGTCTGTGTGTGTGTGTGAGAGAGAGAGAGAGTTCATTTGATTTTCATTCTTTTGTAGAAAATTTCATCAGATGAACTGAAACCGAGAAATTTACCTCGGAAACTACGATCCAGGGAATTCCCCCTCCCCCAGCCCAGATAAAAAACGAGCAGAAAAACCTGGTTTTCAGGTTTCACATTGATGGAAGATAAATGCTCAAAATTATATCGTGCTCAGTGAAGGAATCTAAACTGTAAATTTAAAGATTGTATGTTAATATTATATAGTAGCTTTACCAATACTCCAATAATCACCAATGTGGCTGTTAGTTCCTTGCTTGCATGAAAATCCTGCTCATTTCATGGCAGACCAATGTGTTAAAAAAAGGCTGCAAATGGCAAAACCATGTAAGAGTTTAAGCCAAAACCTGCAGGAAGAATGAAAGTCCTGTAATGACACAGCCCAAGCATGTTGCACCTGCTGATATCTGCACAGATTGGTGCTAATTGAATGTTTTTCAATGCTGCTGAAGTTTATAGATGAAAGAAAACTGTTGTCGGTACTAACTAACCAGCAGAAATGATCGTCTTCTGGACTTATCGATGAAGAGTACTCCGAGAAGAGCCACTAAGATCCGTCAAACATTTCCCTAGGTTGTAGAATGCACCAGTACAATGTTTTGATCTGATATCAAATGGTAACGTCATTTGCTAACCTGAAGAACAGCTATCGGAATGGATCCGACCTTGTTCGGAAAACCTGTGAAATACAGAATTCCTTTGATTACAGTTTTCGATCTATGTTTTCAAGGTTAAATTAAACGTAGTTTCGAAAATTTACCGGCTGACTCGAAAATAAAGCTTGTATAGTATGAAAAACCACTAGGCCTCCAAATTGTTGGAACACCACGAGTCCTACTCCGACCTGAAATAAGCAAGCATAAAGCAACTTTCGACAATGAATGCAGATGTATATCTAATCATCTCTCACAATCAATGGGTTGATATATCTCTTCTGGAAGAGATTCCGAAGCCCTCCATCCAAGATCTGCCGCATGTATTCTGTGTACAACTGTTTCATAACAAAAATCATGTCTCATTCCGATAAAAAATTTCGTTTTGGTTCAATAAAATATGAGATTTACTCTTATATCAGTAGCTTCTTGAGAGATATCGGCCTTTTCTCCCCGAAGGCGTCGCAGGGTGGCTTCAATCTCTTTTGTTTCATTAGTCTTGGCCTGCAGACGGTTACCATTACCAATTGAACACCAACTATAGCCTATATATACATGAACCTCACTGACCAGCCATCTTGGAGAATCTGGAATGAAGAAAACTCCGATCAATTGCAGCACACACGGTACGACTCCTGAAAACAAAAATAATTGCAGCTTTTCAACATGCACGGAATTCGAATATCAGTACTAAAAGTTTAAAATATCTCGAAAGAAGTGACCTATAAGCGCTGAGGTGCGCCAATTGGTCAGAGAACCGATTATGAACATGATTGCCTTGCCGCATCATAGCATAACCTGCAAATACTGACATGCATCAGCTAAAGAAAACCTGCTCCCAGGGATCAGATATGGAATGAAAGAAGTACGCATACAGTAAAAAGCGACGCAAATGCTCCCCAAACATTCTTAGTAGAGAATTCAGATAGATAAATAGGAATCATTATAAGAAAATATTTAGATGACAGATTTTCATGATAACAATGAATCATGTTGGAAATTTTCGCAAGCTACGAGTGTTACCACATAACAAAGAATCCCGGATCCACATCCAATTAGAAGTCTTCCCAAGTCGATCCACCTAACATCCTTAGAGAATACTATTGCAAGCCACCCTGTGATGCAGAAAACTTCTGAAATCCCCATTGCTTGTTTATAGATATAATACATCTAAGAATCGGGATACCGGAAATCAGGCATCTTCAATAGATGGTAAGGGTGCGTTTGGTTCACGGAATGTAAGATTACCAGTGGGAATAAAAGATTACCAGGGAATAGGATTACTGAGAATATTGTATTTTGTGTTTGGTTGGTTTAGCAGGAATGTAAGATTACCGTGTTTGGTTAAAGAAATAAAAGATTATTAAAATGTATATTTGACCAAATTATCCTTATTATATATTTGTATAATATTACAAATTGTAAAATATTTATATATTTTCTTTAAAAAATTAAATTCATAATATTTATATAATTTTTTTACAAAATTAAAAATATAAAAAAAGTTTAATGAAATGGTAAAAAAAAATTTAACCCCTGAACTTCATATAAAATTTTAATTATAGATTTTTTTTTTGTAAATCTAAAATAATTTAAGGATAAATTTATAATTTAACCTTCGTAGAATTTTTATTATTCAATGACAAAAGAAGAATATTTTTGAAAAAAATAATAATTTAAGGGCATTTTAGTCCAAAACGCCGATAATGTTATAATACCTAAGGGAATGGAGGTAATGACATTACCGGTAATATACCCTAAAAAATCTATTATTGGTAATAAAACATTACCAGGAATGAGATTCCCGACCAACCAAACATGATGAGAATCCCACAATCCTTGAACCAAACACTTAATCAAAAAACTTACGCCTCTTCGGCCAAGAAGATATGTGATCTTACCGCTACATGCAGCTCCAAGCATCCCTCCTACTGTTTGATTATGTGATTCAACCTTTTTCATCTTCTTTTGACTTATTTTACCTCAGCTAGAGAAAGGCCGAGGTCCTCCGTAATGCCGCTTTTAGCCGGCGATGAGTACCCCACCTGAAAATGAATCCCAAACAGCTCAAACATGCGATTAACACATTCGTTCCTGAACAGAACATAGAGCCAAACCAACATAACTTTTCAATTTGGTGAACAGAAAACATATAAAAGGCACATTTTCACTATACTTTTCCAAATGCATATGCACCTGATATTGCCGCTAAGCTGCTAAAGATAACAGTACCGGTGACAGAAGATGAACCATTGTGATTATAGCCGACGGTACTATCTCCATATCGAGCACTGGTCTCTGCCTCATCGATGATAACCGGCTTTCCGGTGACCAGCCCTTCCAACATTTCATTTTTCTCCATGTTTTGCTTTTCTTGATCATTGTGGAAATAAAGAGAAATTACCCATGTGACTATCGGTAAGAAAAGACTGTATGCAGCAACTGCTAACATAAAATCTTGAGTCCGTCAAAGTTACGACACACGGAACAATATAGAGCATAAAGGAAGTAAAAAAAATTGTATAACTTCAGGCAATTGAATAACATGTAATTGAATCGTGAAAACAAAACAAAAGGGTGTTGTACAGAAAACAGAGAAATTATACCAATTAACCCGAGAAGTCGGGTTGTGTCAGTGTTGCTTACAGTTACAGATCTGGGCTACACATGTAAAGTTTGAAGTTTCTGATGAATTTTTGCTGCTCTGTTTTCTTCCCTAAAGTTTCAGCTTCATCTTTCAAGAGCCAATGCCGGCCATCAAATTTCTCTCTTTATTATTACATAGAAAGTGAAGGTTGACGTGACATTATTTCACTTTCATAAATGATTTACAGATGACAGTTTAACCCGAACTTCACTGATTTTGATTTTATCAGATTTGATAGGTAGGATTTTTTTTTAAAAAAATGGGATTTAAATTGAGTCAGATTAGATTTTTTAAGAGAATGAAGTGGGATCGGATCAGAATCGGGTGTAGGGTGAAAAATTTCGACTCAACCTGACCCAGGATAAGAATATAATTTATTTAAAAAATTATTATTCCTTAATTAAATCCTTATATATCTATTTCCAAAGTTCTTCTGCCGCCGTTGAAGGCCTTGAGATCTTCGCTCACGAAGGTGATGAAATCGCCTCAGCCAGTGAAGATTTTCCGGTCGGGTTCCGGTTCGTCCCTACTGATGCTGAGTTGATTGAGAATTACTTGATAAAAAAGCTTAACGATGAACACTTACCTACTAATAAAAACATCCATGAAGTTGATCTCTATGGCAGTACTCCATCCCAAATTACTCGTAAGTAAACTAAATCATAATTATGATATTTTTGTGTATTTTCTTATCGTACGTCATTCATATTATTTTTCAAAATTGTGACAGAACAATACCAACAAAGCGACGGAGGGGAGGAGTGGTACTTTTTCACACCGAGGAATAGAAAATACCCCAACGGAAAGAGGTCGAATCGTGCGGCGGGAACGGTGTCGGATACTGGAAACCGACGGCGGACGAGAAACCCATTGTCCGTTGGGGTCATGAGGAGATCATCGGCTACAAGAGAAACCTTGATTATTACGAAGGCCCGCATTCCAACAGTTGAAGAAGCAACTGGAAAATGCATGAATATACAGTAAAAAATGAGAGGTGCACTGAGTCCGGACAAATGGTAAAATTTCTCAAACTCTAATTTCGAATGAGTAAAAGATCGATCTTCAAATTATAAATTGCTGTAAAAAAAAAACTAATATTTGACTGTGTTGTAGCTTGATAAGTGGGTATTGTGCAAGATATATGTGGCGAGGAATAAGGTTAAGAACAATGTGCATGAAAATGGAGATCCATATGCTTGTTCTACCTCTCAAGATGTTGATGGACTATCTTCAAGGTGGGTATTGTGCAAGATATATGTGGCGAGGAATAAGGTTAAGAACAATGTGCATGAAAATGGAGATCCATATGCTTGTTCTACCTCTCAAGATGTTGATGGACTATCTTCAAGGGCAGATTCTTCGTCGCAACACGTTAACCGACCACCTTCGATGGCGATTAACAACAATAGGGGGATGGTGTAGGATCCGAATGTTTCTTCTTATCAGCATGACTATAATGGAACACCTTTGAAGGCTAATAAGGTTGCCAAGATAGCTCCACTATCATCTCCTCGCCTTAGGCAGACATATGCCGCTCGTAATCCGTATTCGACTGGTAGTTTTTCCTAGTTGCCTACTAATGGAGCGTATTCGATGGCGGGACACGGTAATACAATGGTTGGTGTGTCTGCAAGTTGGATTATGTATGCTTGTTGTCCGCAAGTTGTTAATGGAGTGTCTCTGATGGAGGGTTCTTACTGACAAGAAATCAATGGAACACTATCGACGGCAGGAAACAATGATACAATGTATGCATTCGTGTCTGCACATTCAATTCAGAATCTTCTTCTCAGCAAGCTGTTAACGGAGTGTCTCCTTAATTGGAGAGGTTCTAGAAAATTCTAGAGCTTTCTGGAGAAGTGTATAATTTTCTATAACATTCCAGAGAACTCTAGAGAAGTATGGAAATGTCTAGAAGCTTGTGGAAGAGTGTGGAATCCTCTGAAATATTTTGGAGATGTGTGGAAGCTTATGGAAGAGTATAGAAGAATATGTAAGAGGGTGGAAGAGTGTAGAGCTTCCTAGGGTGTGTGGAGCATTCTAGATAATTAATCTCCACCCTTGGATGTAAGTAATCTCCACCATTCATTGTGGAGGTTGAGTAGTATAAATAGGGGTGAGAGACTTCATTCCTAACCATCCAAAATCCAAGAAATCCAAGCTTGAGAAACTAGAGAGTTAGAGAGCCTCTTTGAGAGAGAAGAGAGATAGCTTGGGAAGTCTTTATCCTCAAGGTTGAGTGAGCCATCAAGTGTGAGTTAAATTTTGTGAACATATCCTTATAATCCTACTATTCTTTTGTATAGTGGAAGAATCTCTAAATTGGAGAATTATACTCTTGTGCTCTCTTTATTATACTTAATCTCTAAGTGTCTATCTTAACTTCACGAAGAGGGAAAGACCGTGATTCCCAACAGTAGTATTAGAGTGAGGTTCATCCGTAGCCATAATTAGCTCGTGCAGTTCAAGATAGAGGATAATGTTTCTCATGATGGAGACATGTTCAAGCTCACAGCCAATAACTACTCATATTGGAAGCCGATGATAGAGGACCACCTGTACTGCAAGGATTTGCATGATCCCATCATCTACAAAGACAAGGTAGAAGGAAAGAGTGATGCTCAATGGGAGCTACTAAATCGGATGGTCGTTGCTATGATCCATAAGTACATTGATAAAACCCTCTTTGAGCATGTTTATACTTATACAAATGCTAATGAATTATGGACAAAGCTTGAGTGATTCAAAAAATTGCCTCGTAACAAAGCCAATTTAGTACGACGGTTAGTGAAGTTGAAGTATACGGATGGTCAAAGTATGATTAAGCACTTAAATAATTTTAAAGGGTTCGTAAATCAATTAACAAAAACTGAGATGAAAATTGATGATGAGTTGCAACCCTTCCACTCCTTAGTTCCTTACCGGAAAGTTGGGATACACTCATTGTGACACTTAGTAATTCAGCTCCGGAAGGAAAGCTCGCCATGGGTACCGTTAGTGATAGCCTCCTCGGTGAATAAGCAAGGAGAATCAAACGAGGTGAGTCTATTCATCCTGAAGCTAATATTTTTGAGAATCGGGGTAGGAATAAAACTCGTGGATACAGTAAAAGCTTAGATCCACATCAATCTTGAGGTAGATCCAAGTCACGCTCGAAGATTACATGCTACTACTGTGGAATGATGGGCCACAAGAAAATGGAATATCGATCCTTCAAGAAGCAAGAAGAGAATAGTACTACTGTTGTAGTATCAAAAGAAGATCTGGTATATCTCGTTGATGAAGGTAATATCCTAAACATTGCTTATGATGATAGCTCTAAGATTGTCGATTCTTGTGCTTCATTCCATGTTACTCCACCTAGAAGTTTCTTCTCATCCTACCGAAACGGTGATTTTGGTACAGTACAAATGGGAAATCAAGATAGGAGCAAGATCATCGAGATAGGAGACATCATCCTGACGACAAGCATTTGATGCAAGTTTATCTTAAAAGATGTGAGGCATGTTCCGGCCATGCGCCTCAATCTTATCTCTGTTGGGAAGCTAGATGATGCTGGTCTGATAAATTACTTTGGTGAAGGAAAGTGGAAGCTCACCAAAGGAAGCCTAATAATGGCTAGAGGAAAGAAAGAAGGGTCATTGTACGTGATGCAAGCTAAGCTCTGCCAAGGAGAGTTAAATATCACCACTGAAGATGTGGAGATATGACATAAACGACTTGGGCACATCAGTGAGAAGAGTCTTCACATGCTCTCTCGGAAACAACTCTTACCTGACATGAAAGGCAAACCACTTGATCCTTGTACTCACTGTTTAGCTGGAAAACAATACAGGGTTGCTTTCCAAAGATCTTCTCTGTCCATAAGGAGAAAAAACATCCTAAACCTCGTACACACCGACGTGTGTTCGATGTCCGAGAGATCAATAGGTAGTGCATTGTATTTTGTCATCTTCATTGATGGCCATTCAAGGAAGGTATGGGTGCACCTGTCAAAATCAAAGGATCAAGTGTTTGACGCTTTCAAAGAATTTCATGCCCTAGTGGAGCGTGAGACCGGACGGAAGATTAAGTGTGTAAGATCTGACAATAGAGGTGAGTATAGAGGTCCTTTTGAAGCATATTGCAAGAAATATGACATTAGACTAGAGATGATTTAACCCAAGACACAAAAATTGAATGTATCAACTGAGAGAATGAATAGAACTATTGAAGAAAGAGTTCGATGTGTTCTCTCTCATGCTAATTTACCCAAATCATTTTAGGGAGAAGCTATAATGGTAGTGGTTGACATTGTCAACCTCACACCATCAGTTCCCTTGAACGGGGGCATCCCAGAAGAAGTCTGGATGGGCAAAAAGGCTTCATACAATCATCTCAAGGTATTTGGGTGCAGGGCATTTGTTCACATACCCAAAGATGAGAGAGCCAAGCTTGACGTAAAGACGAAGTGTTGAAAACATTTTGATGTTTCGATATAACAAATTAAGTATAAATAAATTTTAAGATTTTACAATCTTTTTCAAAGTATATTCGATTAAATTATTCGAATATCAAAAATATTACTCCAAGTTTTTTAAAAATCAATTTCAATCCTTACTAAAGTGTAAAATTATGTTTTAAATTTAACATATTTTTAAAAACAATTTTTACAAAGTATTTCGAACCAAAACCGAGCCAAAAATTAATTTTTAAAGGGATGTACTGATGTACTATTTGATGCATCGATGTAAACCTTATTTCAAATGCATTTTATGTACCGATGCACTCTTGAATATATTGAAACATTGAATGCATTTTGTGTACTGATGCACAGACCATGCATCGATGCACTCCTGGCTATTTTGAAACATCGAATGTAATTAGTGTACCGATTCACCCCATGTGTACCGATGCACTAGGTCTTATAACGGTCGAAATATTTGAATTTTATACACAGTGTACCGATGCACCTTGAGTATGCATCGATGCACACATGCTCCCAACTGTTTTATTAAATGATAATTACACAATAACGGCTCTATTGACTTCACCAATGATCCCCAACGTTCAGAAGTGATCCAAGGTGTATTTAAACAAGCTTAAGAGCCATTGATCAACAAGAATTAAGAAGAGAAGCTATAGAATCAAAGAGAAAGCATCAAATCTCAAGTTTGAGCATTTTCAAGCCTATTTCATTCATTATTCATTTTTGCTTTCAAGAATACTTATTGTTCTCAATTGTATTATTCTTGAGTGTTCTTTCTTTGTTCTAGATTTGTGCAAACATCTTGCCTTGTGAGCATTTTTTGTAAGTTTGCAAAGTTTGTATTGTTCTCTTTGGGAGAGAGTGTTCTCAAGAATTTGGGGTATAATTCTTGAGGAATTTGTAAGGTTACTCTTTGTCCTCAAAAGAAAGACAAATTAGTGAATTTGTGGAAAATCCTTAATGGGATAGCTAAGGTAGTGGACATAGACTTTGGTTGAGAAAGTCGAACCACACTAAATTGTTGTGCAATTATTTTCTATTTTCTGCAAAAGCTTCCACCAAATTTTTAATTTTCAATTCACCCCCTCTTGGCTATTTCGTCGATCGATTAACTTAATAATAACTATGTTCTTAAGATTTTGGGGTATAATTCTTGAGAGATTTGTAAGGTTACTCTTTGTCCTCAAAAGAAAGACAAATTAGTGAATTTGTGGAAAATATTTAGTGTGGATAGCTAAGGTAGTGGACGTAGACTTTGGTTGAGAAAGTTGAACCACTCTAAACCGTTGTGTAATTATTTTCTATTTTTTGCAAAAGCTTCCACCAAATTTCAATTGTCAATTCACCCCCTCTTAGCTATTTCGTCGATCGATTAACTCAATAATTGGTATCAGAGCCTCACTCATTTGAAGGTTTAATCGCCTCTTGAGTCAATTCAGAAAGAGTTATATTGATATTCAAGTCATCAATGGCCTCCATATCAAACTTTGACTTTGCTCTTGATTTAATTCCCGTCAACAAGCCTGCTTTATTCAATGGAGCTAATTATGCTTATTAAAAGAATAGAATGAGGTATTTCATTCAAGCAAGTGACATGAGAGCATAGAATATCATAGAAGACGGATACATCATTCCTTCCACTCATTCAAGATTGTGGAGTGAAGGAGAGACAATAATGTTCCAGCTCAACTCAAAGGCTATCTATATCATTTTTGTGCTATTGGACCAGATGAATACGAGAGAGTTTCATCCTGTAAAACTACCAAAGAGATATAGGATAAACTACAAGTCACTCATGAAGGCACATACGAGGTAAAAGAATCTAAAATTAGTCTTCTAACTCATAGCTATGAAAATTTCAGGATGAAACCAGATGAAGACATCAAAGCTATGACGGATAGATTTTCCATGATTGTCAATGTTCTCAAATCATATGGAGAGATCATTCCAAAAGAGAAGCTTGTAAAGAAGTTAGTTTACTCTCTTCCTAAAGCTTGGCAATCAAAGAAGACGGTGATCATCTAGGCTAAAAACTTAAAGTCTTTCTCTTGACGAGTTAATTAGTTCTCTCCTCACGCATGAAATGATGCTTCAAGATGAGAGAAGATTAACGAGACAAAGAATGAGACGGAGAAAAAAAACGTAGGAGTTGCTCTCAAATCCATAAGATATGAGAGTGATTCAGATGAAGATGACGATGACGAGGAAATGACATTATTTTCCAAACGGATCAGAAAATTGATGAGGCCCTACTGAGGAAGAAAATTCAAACGAAATGAAGGCTTTAAAACTGAAACGAATGAGAAAGACCCAATAATTTGCTACAAATACAAAAAGTCAGGGCATGTCAAACATGATTGCCCACAATTAAAAAACAAAGGTCAAGAAAAGAAGAAGCACAAGGCTCACGTGGCTACATGGAGCGATGATGAACAATCCGATGAAGAGGAACAAGAAGTAGCAAACTTGTACTTGATGGACATCATGTCAGGTAACCTCTAGCTCATTTAATTTTGAAGATTATTCTTTTGATGAGCTATTAGAGGAATATACTGGGTTGGCCTCGGATTATGAGAACTTATTTTTAAAATACAAAAATGATATTTCAAAACTGAAAAATAAAAATAATCCCATATCCAAGACCAACAACGATCTTGAAAGTTAGATCAAAGAATTGTAAATCAAATTAGATGAATTTGAAAAGAAAAATATTGATTTGCATAACTTACTTTCAAGAGTCAACGACGATCATCAAAAGAAAATTGATGATCTTAAAGTTTCTTTTGAGAAAGTTAGAACAAAACGTTTTAAAAATGGAGAAAGTTCAAAATCCAACTTTGTTAGAAAAAGTTTTAAAAACTACAATCATAAAGGTCCTCAAAGAACCTCTAATAAGAGAATATGGGTTCCTAAAGAACTCATTACTACTAAAGATAAGGATATCCTACACAAATGGATACCTAAGGGGACTAGAATTTTAGAAACTAATGAATATGGACCCAAAAGAAATTGGTTACAAAAATAAAAAATTAATCTATGTTTGTAGGAAAATGAGCATTGCTACAAGGCGCAAAATACAAGTTCAAACTCATGGTACCTTGATAGTGGATGCTCAAGACATATGACCGGAGACAAGAGCCGGTTCATCGAGCTTAATGAAAAAAAATGGAGGAGATGTGACTTTTGGTGATAATTCAAAAGGTCACATTAAAGGTATAGGTACAATAGGTAATGTCTCTTCCATACAAATTAAAAATGTTTTATATGTGAATGG